AATTAGTGGAGGGTGGAAACTGGTCTCTAGCCTGGCTGCTCCAAGGAGGTGCCTGACAGGCAGGGCAGAAAGACCAAGGTTGGTTCAGAACTTTATTCCCCAGCATGTGGGCTTGGAGTGGGTTGTGTTGAGACTAGGGATGTTAAATTTAGATTAATCAGCTAATAGAATAGTCGATGCAATTGGTATCGACTATTTGAGTCAGTACGGGTGCCTCCCCAGGGCTGTTGCTACACTTCAAAGGCAAAAGCGCTGTGGAGAGCATGGGCTGTTTCAAAGCGGCAGTGCCACCTGGATCCCAGGATCAGAGTCCCCAATTCACCCTTGGCTCCCCACAGCGCTGCCACTTTGAAGCACCCCTTCCGCTTCCTCTTCCTGCCTCTTTCTGATAGAGGCAGCAAGGTGTGGGTGGGATGACTAGCTGACTAGTGTGTTGACTAGCCGATAACCTGGAGCTGCTTCTAATTCAGGTTGGCTGTAGGTGGGTGCTTTCTCCTTGTTGGTGTTGGAATACATCACAGGGGTCCTGCAACTCCCTAGAAGCCATACGTTGTCTTTCTGCAGCTTGGGAGTAGTGGCTGAACATTGTTGTTGGTTTTTTGAGCTTCACCGAAGCAAAGCCTCAAAAAATTGGGTACAAACTCATAAATGTTCCTCTCCATGGAAATCTTTAGTAAAAGGCAAAAGATGTATATGATCTGAAGAGAAAGCAGGGTATAGACTTGCAGGCCTCTGGGATACAGTGAAGGCTTTTGATGTGACCACAACCCCCAAGGCTCTTGTATTAAACCTGCAGCTGGTAACCCTCAATAACTAGGCTTCTTCCCTAATATTCCATGAGTAAAGGGAGCACAGAGGGTGCGTATGCAGAATATTCGAATATCAATGGCTAAGTGCTCCCCTGGCTGGTCCGATGGATGTTCTGGGTGACTAATCTTGTCCTATTTTCCTTTCTCTATCCAAATTGGGCTTTCCTGCCCTCCCAATCTAATAGGGCTGCGACCAGGAAATGAGCTTCTATTTGCAGAGTGGGAATAGTAATTCCTGCACTCTGTTCTGCCAGCCTCAAGGAATAGCCTTGTTCTATGACTGTGGGGCAGGTGGAATATTCATTTCACAACCCTGTGCAGGGCACCAGTAGGATGACATGCTTGGGGGTAGCTATTGTGCTACTCTGAAGAAACGGAGTTAAGTTATTAGGAAGGGCTTGGTGATCTTGGTGCAGAGGACTCTTCCAGGGAAGGGGTCAAGAGTGGCCAAAGCACTGAGCAGACAGCTTGCAGGTCCCAGTCTGCCATTGTCTGGGGAACAAAGTTCTATGAAACCAAGACCTGCTCCCTGTCACCATGATGAGAGCAAGCTGGTGAAATGCTTGTGGAGAGCTGGGCAGAGACATCCAACCCCTGACCTGCATCTGGGACCATAAGCATGAGGGGCAGTTGAGTCGCTGCTTTTCAGGTTGTTCATATATGGAAGAGGCAGGGCTGTCCTTAGGCATAGGCAGAATAGGCAGTTGTGTAGGGCACCAGTATTTCTGGGGCACCACTCTGCTGGGACGGTTGGGAACTAGTGGAGCAGTGCGAAAAGCTTCCCTGCCTGCTGATAGAAAGTGCCGGCTAGCCAGCTGCTTAAAGAAGCAGCAGACTTGTTTCCTGTTCCCTGCCTCCCTATGCCTCTGAGTCGCCTGGGAGGAACAGTTGCTCCCGGCTGGCATACCGGGGGGTGCTGGACAGGAGTGACTCCACATGACCCGCAGTGGGGAGGGAAGCACTTCCCCTCCCCACAGGAGCCGGCATGCGCTGCCTGAACAGCTTGGGCTGTGATACCAGGCAACTTAGTTCCGGGGCCTTTCTGTGCGGTGCGGGGTGGTCAGGAGACCCAGGTCGGCGCAGCTCCGACTGTGCAGGGAACGTGCTCTGCCCTGGAACTCCCCGCACGCTCGCCCCCCCTCCCCCCAGGATGGCATCATGGAGGTAAGTTGCTGGGATGCAACAGCTTCTGCTCAGGCAGGGTGCATGCCAACTATTTGGGGAGGGGGAGTGCAGTCGCACGCTTCCCAGAGGTGCTGCAGCATTGCCAGGTACTGGTCCCAGCTGCCCCTGTCCCCTGCCCAGACCCCCCCCCCGCCACAAGAAC